AACCCTTAACACACCTCAGCTATGCTAAGTTGCGCGAACAACCAATTTGTCGAGCTAATACTGCGAATTTCCACCAATAACCTTCTCTCTTCTCGAAGAGAGAGAGGAAAATAATCGCGAGTATCGATCGCAATCGATGACTTGATCGCTCTGACGCGATTACCCAAAGGGTGGTTTTTGAAAGGGTGATTTGATATTTCGAAATATTTTAAACGATGTGACGTTGAATAGATTGGGGATGAAGATCCAGTAAGAAATTAGGGACGATTCGATCTTATTTCGAGGTTAATGAGCATCGTTTCGCTGTAACCAATTGCCTGTTAACAATGATAAATTATAATCAATTGCTTTTTGCTGATAGCTTTCAGTTCAAGTGCGATGACAACCGAGCGTGGAGCATCCGAGGAGCGTTGATGCATCGATTCTTTGGGAAAATGAAGTTGTGTGAGTTGATTGATTCATTTCGATCTCGGTTACACTAACAACGCATCACATTTGGAATACATTTTTGCTTCGTTTAGGTTCCATCAAAATTTACTAATACTTTTCTCTTTCTTTTTTCACGACGCACGATATTTTTACTCATCATTTTTTTTTGGAACAAGTTATCCACTTCAAAATTCTATTAATGTTTGGAATTTGAATATATTCCAAAAATTATAAGCAAAATAAATACCGTAAAATTTATTTTCATCCCTTGCTCATATATTTATAATTTGTCATAAAAATCTCCTCCACCTTTTTCCAATGGGATATACAGGAGCAAAGCGATGAGGAACGCGGTTGGATTGGTCGTGAGGGACACGTGGTGGAGGGCCGGTCGCTCTCCATTCTCCTGGAAATCACGGCGGTCGTTGTCTCGTCTCTCGATCCACGCCGCTCTCTTTGCTCGCCGCTCCAAAGCTGAAATTCGAGCGCCTCCGGGTGCTGCGGTTCATTCATCATCCCGCGCAACGGAATCCACATAACTGGAACACCTTTCATCCATCACGTCTCCGAAGCACGGCCAGACGGCTTCATCCGATTATATCCGGATCCGTGGGCCTCCCCCTCCGATCTTTATTTCAACCGCTTTCTCTCTTTCCGCGCACGTGCGTTGTTAAACCCCCTCCCGAGAGAATCTGCGCGAGGGAGAAGAGGAATCCGCCATTCCACTGGATCTGGTCGTTAACTCGACTCGGTTAACAGTACTTATTACAGCGAATAAGTATTTTATTCGAGCCGTAAAAAATTTCAACCGATTGATTTCTTCATCGATTTCGAGGGGTAACAATTTTTAAAGATAGAAGTAAGAAGGTTAATATGAAACATCGTGATGAAATCATCGATAAATTTGATTATTGATTCAAAAGTAGTTTGGGATCGTGATTTTTTTTTTTTTTATTTGTAAGCGAACTCTAATGAATCATAGGGTGATCGTAGGGATTCGTTAAAAGATTTTTTTTTTCTTCTGGTGGTATAAGAGGGAGGGGGGAGGGTAGTTTTAACGAGATCGATCCCTTTTTCTGCATTTTCATCAGCTCCGCCGAAGCTATTTCAGCCGGTGGATCGTTACAGAAGTTTTCCTCCTCTGCCGGGAACAAATAAGTATAAGATCGCGTTTCGAAGAGTTACCGTGGATGAGTTGCAGAAACGTTGTATCATAGAACCGAGGTCGACTTCAATAATATGTAGCTCTCTCTACGTTTTCGTTTCGGGTAGAATTTGTTTTCGATAAGATTGATTTATCTTCCTCCATTGTTTCACCTTTCGTTCAGGAAGATTGATAGTTTCCCCAAGAAATGGCTGCTGCTGCTGCTGCTTCTGCTACCGCCGCCGCCGCTGCAGCACTTCTTCTTCTTCCCGATTATACGCGAAA